ACGACGACAACGACGACGACGATGACGATGCCGACGACGACGATAACGACGACACCGACGACGACGACGTCAACGACGCCGACGATGACGAGGACGACGACGACGACGGCGGCGACGACGACGACGCCGACGTCGACGACGACTAAGGCGACAACGACGCCGACGACGACGACGAAGACGACGACGACGTCGCCAACGAAGACAACGAGGAAGGAAGGAGGACGACGACGGCGACAACGACGACAACGACGAGGGAGGAGGGAGGACGGCGACGACGCGAACGACGAAGAAGGAGGAAGGACGGCGACGCCGACGACGGCAACGACGAGGGAGGAGGGAAGACGACGACGACGACGACGACGACGACGACGACGACGACGGCGACGAAATAGGAGGGACGACGACGAGACGCCGACGACGGACGACGACGACGACGAGGGAGGAGGAGGAAGGACGACCACGGCGACAACGACGACGGAAACGACCACGACGCCAAAGAGGACGACGACGACGACCACGAGGAAAGACAGAGGACGACGTAGGCGACGACGACGACGACAACGACGCGGGAGGAGGGAGGACGGCGACGACGACGACGACGACGCAAGAGCGCGCGCGCACGCTTTTGTTGAAAACCCGTGTTGCGAAACCTTGTGTTTTTGTATGTTTTTTGGACACGATTTTGAAATCCTTCCGAAACCGATGGGTTTTGAAGGTTTTCGGCATACGCGCGCCACGACGCGCGCGTCTGCACTTCGTCTTATGTTTTGCAGGGGATTCTCGCGACGGCGCACGCGCAAGGGCGTCCGACAGATTTCGACATGAGCGCGCGCGAAGCCCGTTTGGTAGCATTTTTTGAACATCTTGAAAAACCTATGGTTTTCTTAAGATTTCGCAAGAGCTCGCGCGTAAGCTTTTTTAGCAAAGAAGTGTTGCGAAACCCTGTGTTTTGTATGTTTTTTTAAAATGCAATTTTGAAATCTCTCCGAAACCGAAGGTTTTTGAAGGATTTCGGCATGCGCGCGCGACGACGCGCGCGTGCGCACTTCGTCCCATTTGTTGCAAGGGATTCGTGAAAAAAAAGTGCTACGCTAAAACAAAACATGTCACCGCATAGTGTTTTTTTTTGTTTTACAAAGGGAACCTCAGGGGGGGAACCCGGTTTGGCTGGGATGATATGATTTCATATTTGGGATGGACGAGTTTGCATAATATATATATATATATATATATATATATGTATATATATATATACATATGAAATCATATTATCCCAGGGGAGCTGATAAGTCCGGGGGGGGTAGAGTCTATTTCTTGTTTTTAGCAAGGGGAATCAACCATTTGCTCAACTTGATGTTGTCCTCTCCACTGCTCGTGCAAACATCCCGCCCTCCCACCCGCAATTTGGTCGCAGGACCTCTTAAGACCGCGACGGTAGGTACCAAATGGCACTTGGCAGCGACGCCGACGACGACAGCGATAGAGACGACGACGACGCCGCCGACAACGACTACGACGACGACGACGTCGCCAACGACTTCGACGACGACAACGACGATGACGACATCGACGACGACGACGCCGACGCCGACGACGACGATGACGACGATGACAACGACGACGACGACGCCGACGACGACGACGACGACGCCGACGACGACGACGACGACGAAAACGAAAACGACGACGACGACGAGAACGATGACGACGAAGGAGGAGGGAGGACGACGACGGCGACAACGACGACAACGACGAGGGAGGAGGGAGGACGGCGACGACGCGAACGACGAAGAAGGAGGGAGGACGGCGACGCCGACGACGACAACGACGAGGGAGGAGGGACGACGAGGAGACGCCGACGACGGACGACGACGACGACGACGACCAGGGAGGAGGAAGGACGACCACGGTGACATCGACGACGGAAACGACGACGACGCCAAGAGGACGACGACGACGACGACAAGGAAAGACAGAGGACGACGACGGCGACGACGACGACGACGACGAGGGAGGAAGGAGGACGGCGACGACGACGTCGGCGACGACGCAAGAGCGTGCGCGCACGCTTTTGTTGAACATCCGTGTTGCGAAACCATGTGTTTGTGTATGTCTTTTGTTGACGCTCGATTTTGAAATTTTTCTGAAGCCGAAGGTTTTCGAAAGATTCCGGCATGCGCGCGCGACGGCGCGAGCGCGTGCATTTCGCTTTGTTTTTTCGTAGAGGATTATCGCGACGGCACGCGCGCCTGGGCGTTCGAAAGATTTTGGCATGCGCGCGCGAAGCCCGTCTGGTAGTTTTGGTTTTGTGCTTGTTCGAATTTGTTATAAACAAGATTGAGAAACCGATGGTTGTCTCCAGACTTCGCAAGAGGGCGCGCGTAAGCTTTTTTTGAAAATCCGTGTTGCGAAGCCACGTGTTGTTTTGTATATTTTTGGGACCTCGATTTTGAACTCTTTCTGGGGCCGAAGGTTTTTGAAGGATTTCGGCATGCGCGCGCGACGACGCTCGCGCGTGCACTTCGCCGATTTTTTGTTCTGCAAGGGGTTATTGAACATGTCTGACTTTTGATAAACGAGTCTGCGCGCTTGGTTTTATTGCAGAGGATGGCTGGGGTGGTCGATACCGGTTTGGCTGGGATAGTACGAACTCACAGGTAGGATGGACATTGGGTCAGCATCCTATGTGTTTTGCATCGGTTCTCGGGGGATCGTTGACCGGGAGGTAGAAATTGTTTTGTTTAGATAGGAGAATATATCTGGTGCAGTTCGCATGCCGACTTTGAAGTTGTCAACTCCGCTGCTCGCGCAATCATCCACCCACCCACCCGCAACTAGGTTCGCAAAGCCCATGCGGAAGCGATTGCGATGAGTGTTTGGTGCTGGCTGGTGCATATATGCGGCCGCGCTAGCCCGCGCATGCTTGCGCGCGCAGCGGCCAGCTAGTTTGGCGCGAGCGACGCGAAATCGGTGGCGCTGACCGCTCGGCACATCCCAGCGGGCACAGTAGGGCGAGTCGGCGACTTTGGCGGGCGCGGTGTCATGGCAACGTCGACAAGGTAGACGCGATGATGATGATGATGATGATGATGATGATGATGATGATGATGATGCTGATGATGATGATGATGGTGATGGTGATGGTGATGGTGATGGTGATGGTGATGATGATGATGATGATGATGATGATGATGATGATGATGATGATGATGGTAGTAGCGATGCAGGTGACGATGCTGACAGCGACGACGGGGCAGCCAGTGACGGTGCCGATGCCGATCACGCCGACGACGATGACGGCGTTTCGCGTCGGTGATGAAGGTTTTGGAAGGAGTTCGAAATGTGCGCGGGAGACGCGCGAGAGTTGCCCGCATGGCATGATTTGACACGGATCGCGCCACCCCAGCACGCGCGCAAGGGCGTTCGAACGATTTCGACATGCGCGCGCGAAACCAATTTGGTAGAAATTGATGGTAACGTTGAACAGCCGATGGTTCTCTTAAGAATTCGCATGGGCGCGCGCAAGTTCGTTGTTTTGTGTTGTTGCGTTTTTTGTTTGACGTTTGGTTGAAAGTTGTGTTGCGAAACCTTGCGTTTCTTGTATGTTGTTTGAACATTCGGTTTTGAAATCCCTACGGGAGTGAAGGTTTTTGTCGGATTCCGGCATGCGCGCGCGACGAGGGGCGCGTGTGCACTTCGCCTCAGTTTTTTTGCCAGGGGTTCCTGGGCTCTTGAAAGCTTGGTATTTTGATAAACGAGTGCGCGCGCATAATATTTTGTTGCCGGGGACGGCGGTGTGCCAATACTGGTTGGGTTGGGATGGCATAAGCTCATATTTAGGATGGACGGTAGGGCAGAATCATATGCAAATTGCAATATGAAAAAGGGGTGCCGATCATCCCGGGGGGGAACTTTTTTGGACAAGAGAAAATAGTTGCGACGGCGACGGCGGCGACGGGCGGCACCGCCCGCAAACGCCGCCACTCGCTACTAGCGGAGGCGACGGCGACGACGACGGCGGCAACGGGCGGCACCGCCCGCAAAAAGCGCCACTCGCCCCGAGCGGCGGCGACGGCGACGGTGAAGGCGACGGGCGGCACCGCCCGCACAAAAACACTCACCCCGAGATGGTTCAGCCAAGTAAAAACCCTTAAGTGCAAACACCTGTTGGGATATATCCATACATACACATATGCATATATGTATGTATTTACGTATGCGTGCACGCATGTTTGTTTGTATGTATGTATGTATGCATGTTTGTTTATGCATGTATGCATGTATGCATACATGCATGTATGTGTGTGTTTGTTGTGCGTATGTGTGTGCGTGTGTGTGAATGTGTGTTCATCCCGCTCTCTCTCTCTCTCTCTCTGTAAGTGTCTCTTCATTTTTATGTATATATACACACGTGTGTGTGTGTGGCTGTGTCCAGATCCCCTGCGCCTCTCCATGCGCCACTTCCTTATTCGACATACTGTCGGGCCAAGTCCCTCTTTTCCTTCTCCTGCCCTCAGCAGGCCCCCCGGCGATGGCCACTATGGAACAGAGTTGGCTCGTCGCCCAGGGACGGCTTGGGGAGGAATACGCTCCAGTCGCTGACGTTCTCTACTGAGACAGAGTCCGTTGCTCCTTTCCTTGCCGTCAGTTTTGAGACTTCTGCCCTCCATCGTCCATCGTCCTTACTATATCCCCGATCCCCCGTCCGTTTTCTTTTTATCCTCCTCCTTCATTCTCAATTCTCGACGCATCCCCTATTCAGCCGTACGAGGGGAGGAGGAGGAGGAGGAGGAGGAGGAGCAGGAGGAGGAGGAGGAGGAGGAGGCGGAGGAGGAGGAGGAGGAGAGGGAGGAGGAGAGGGAGGAGGAGGAGGAGGAGGAGGACCAGGAGGAGGAGGAGGACGAGGAGGAGGAGCAGGAGGAGGAGGAGGAGGAGGAGGAGCTAGGGAGGAGGAGGAGGAGGAGGAGGAGGAGCTCTCTCCCTCCCCCCTCCCGCGCCAGGCGCCAGCGGCGACCTCCAGGACATCGATGACCTGGGGGCCGTACCTCCGCTCGAGAGCCCGTCCGCCTTCCCGATCACGACTCTCCCTCGCGCTCGGCTGGCCATGGTTTAGGCTCTGGATATCTCCGAGGGGAGGAAGTGAGGCGGCGGAGGAGGTGAGGCGGCGGAGGAGGAGGAGGAGGAAGTGAGGCGGCGGAGGAGGAAGAGGAGGAGGAGGATGAGCAGGAGCAGGAGCAGGAGGAGGAGGAGGAGGAGGAGGAGAGGAGGAGGGAGGAGGAGGAGGAGGGGAGGGGGGAGGAGGACGAGGACTAGGAGGAGGACGAGGGACTAGGAGGAGGAGGAAGAGGAGGGGGAGGAGGATCAAGCGAAGGGAGTAAGGAGGAGGAGAAGGAGGAGGAGGAGGAGGAGGAGGAGGAGGAAGAAGGGGGAGGAGGAGGAGGTGCAAGATTGCCGCGAGGCTACAGGCCTCGGCTCTGCTCTTGAGGAGACTCGGACTCAGCCCTCTCTCTCAGGGCGCCCTTCGGCACCAGGGAGTCCAGAGGACACCTTGGCCCTGCAGCTCCGAAGTTTGCCTCGATGGTGTGGGGGGGGGGGGAAAAGACAATATGAAAACAGCCCAAGAGGCCTCCAAGACGCCCCAAGATGCTGACAGGAGCAGTCCCAAGAGGAGCCCCAGAAACGAAAATCATTAGTTTCCCCGAGGTGTCTGAAGGATGGTTGGTGTCACCGCCTTTTCGGCTCCGCGCCGCTCGAAGACAGCCCGAGAGGCCCCCGACATCGGTCCAGGGCGGCCCGGAGCGGGAGGGGGGCAGGGCGAAGGAGGGTGGCCCTCGGACCCCGGGCAGTGCGCGCGGGAGCTCGTCCCCGAGGAGGAGGGGCCCAGCGACCCCCAGCCCGAGGAGAGGAGGAGGAGGAGGAGGAGGAGGAGGAGGAGGAGGAGGAGGAGGAGGAGGAGGAGGAGGAGGGGGAGGGGGAGGAGGGGAGGAGGAGGAGGAGGGGAGGAGGAGGGCGGAGGAGGAGGAGGAGGAGGAGGAGGAGGAGGAGGAGGAGGAGGAGGCACCGCCCCTCGGCGGGGATGGGCACCGTGAGACCCGAAGGGAAGATCATGCATCTCCTGCTCGTCCGAGGCGCGGGAATTTATCCATATCCACCGCCTGGAGGGTCAGTTCTCGGAGCCTCGGCAGGCGGTGGATATGGACATACTCGGGCCCCCGGGGGCCAAAATATATCCATATCCACCGCCCGCTGGGGCACCAGGACGTCGGTTCCCATCCCCGCCTCGCACCCAGCACTCAGTCCGATGTGAGGCTGATCGAGCTGTGGGTCAGCAGGCCGGCTGAACAGTTCGGGGTGGGGTCGGCATGCTGGTCCAGGAGCCGGAAGGGACAACGCCGCCTTCGGGAGACGGCTGCGAGCGGCAGGCACGCAGGGCCCGAGGTCAAACAAGGACATGTCGCAAGCGGTCGCGCGAGTCCAGCACAGTGTGTGTTACAGGCCTCACAGCGAGCAGCCAGCGCAGAAGAGACGGCACGAGAAGCGGCCACGGAGGTGGTCGAGCCCCGACAGGCACTGCAGGAGGCGAAGGAGGAGCCCGAGCAGGCCAGGAGGGACGCAGCCGGCAAGATCGGATCGGCAGCGCACTCAGCACCAGCGGTGCCACTTCCGCCAGAGTTGTGGTCACAGGTGGGCAACTTGAAGGGAATGAGCAGTGACATAAACATAAAGACCCGGAGGTCCGCGCTGACTTCTCGGATCCGCGCTGGACTCATTGGCGGCGCCTCCAGCGCCGCCCCTGGCCCGCTCCGCGCGCCAGGGAGGGGGGTCAGCGCGGATCCGAGAAAACCGCGCGGACCTCCGAGTTTTTATGCTTATGTCATTGTTCGTTCCCTTACGTTGGCAGAGCTGGCAGCTCATACATTGCAGGAGGAGCCGAAGGCCGAGCAGGCAGTCCAGAGCGCCAGCGCCATCAAAGGACACACTCGAGAAGCTGCAGACACTTCGACAACAGTCGGCAGCGGGTAGTGTCGAGCCTGCTGCTAAGTCTACAGTGGAGACCCATGCTAAGAAACACCCTGCTCGCCTCCAGGGTGCTCTGGGTTTCTTGGGTTTCGAGGGTTTTGCGATGGAAAGCGCGACGCTCCCACACCAAAAATCCATGGGCGTCCTGGGGTCTCAGGGTTGGGTTTCTTGTGGAAGGTTTCTTGAGGTCGGGCCTCCACTGTATTGGTGCTGGTGCTTATGATAGGAGTCAGACGGCAGATCATGACGTCGAAAAGGCAGAATCCGAGAGCATCCCTTTCCCCGAGGATGACGAGGAGCCCAACAAGCGCATCCGCAGCCTCATGGCAGTATGGACAGCCGACATCACATAGGAAGCGCGCGTCAGTGTCATGACAAGTCTCTTCAAGGCAGAGGCGACCAAGCGGCTACGGCGACACAAGTAAACACGGAGGTCAATTACAGCAAGGATGTGGCATGCCCCGTGCGATTCCCGGGATCCCTGCACAGCTCATTTCACCGAGCGCGTTCCACTACTCGCAAAGTGCCTGCTCGCAAACGTCCGAAAAACACACGTGTCTGCTCTGCTGTCATTGATCGAAGATCCCCCGCGGGGGATCCGGGCCACTCGCGAGCAGTCACCTTGCGAGCAGTGGAACGCGCTCGTCTATCATTGGAAGCGTGGCCCAGCTCATTGGAAGCGTGGCCGAGCGGAGCGCACGAGGAGCGGGCGCGGGCAGGCGCCGCAGAGGTGCCGCCGGCAGCGCGGACGTGCCGGAGAGCCCCGGCCGCCAACGCGCGGGCGGCCGAGGCCCAGGGCACTGGCAGTCCGCACCGCGGGAAAGCCGACGGGGGGGTGCCGCGATCCTTGATCGACTCGCTGGCGACGCGCGCCCGCAGAGCGCGGGAGGAGGAGGAGGAGGAGGAGGAGGAGGAGGAGGAGGAGGAGGAAGAGCAGGAGGAGGAGGAGGAGGAGGACGAGGAGGACGAGGACGAGGAAGACGAGGAGGCGGAGGAGGAGGAGGCGGAGGAGGAGGCGGAGGAGGAGGAGGCGGCGGAGGCGGGGGAGGAGGAGGCACGGGATCGACTACTTCGTCGTCCGCCGCGCAGGCACCTGGTGCGAGAGGCGCGGGAGGCCCCGGCCAGCGCCAGAGGGCCGGGGGCGACAGGGCCGACTGGCCGACTGCCGGCGAGTCGCGCTCGCGGGCGCGCGGGCTGCCGGAGCTCGCCGGCCCGGCAGTGCGCACCGTGGCGCCCTCCGTCGCGCTGTTCCCGTGGTGGAGCGCATCGGGTGCTGCTAGAAGTACATCGGCGTCACCCTGACATACTTATACTATTTGTGCGTCGCCCCCCCCAGGGGGCGACGCGCGCACCGAGAATCTTATAGTATATGCGTCGTGGCGGGCGCTTTCTGGCCACACCGCTCGGGGAACGACATACTACAAGATGGGTATACTAGATGTTCGGGTCGGATGCGCGCCTCCAAGGAGGACACATAGTATTAGTATGTCGCTGTGGGTCCCAGTGCAGTGGGTGGCCAAAATGTCGCATGCTATCTGGGCGTTCTGAGAAACCGCGTGCCAACCTGGATCAGACTCCATCTACCTCCGAGGACCCCCTCACTACCCCCACATCTCAATGCTGACTTGCATTATTTTATCCATCCGGACTTGGGGTGCTCGCTTGATGCCATCATTGACACGTAGGGGGCAGGGATTGTTCGTCGAGATGGCCTCGCAATGTATGTGCATCCGCACGCGGCCAGGAGCAACTCGCAAAATCTCGTCGTCCCACCGCACCCCTGGCCCAAGGTACCCCCAGGATTCCCAGGAGGGCCCAGACGGCCTCCAGGGCACCCCTCGCGAGGCCCAGAGGGCCCCAGGGGCTCCAACATGGAGCGAGAAGCTGGGGGCACCTTTCGGAGGTTGATGGACCTCCAACCTTGACACGTCGATTCGCGAATTGGCCGTTTTCGGTTCGCGAGAGGGCGTCGCGGCCGCCATTTTTGCGGGATCCAGGTCCGTCGGTTTCGGTCCTAGGTCCTAGGGCTGTTTTCACTAAAGGTTGGTTCACCAAAGGGAGGCTTGTCCACCGCCGAGCTTTGGGCCAGGGACACGTCTGGCCACGCCCGGATGCCGAGGAGACCCGGCCGCGCCCAGCACGGCTCGACGACGACGACGACGACGACGACGACGACGACGACGACGACGACGACGACGACGACGACGACGACGACGACGACGACGACGACGACGGCGGCGGCGGCGACGGCGACGGCGACGGCGACGGCGACGGCGACGGCGACGGCGACGGCGGCGGCGACGGCGGCGGCGGCGGCATCGACGGCGACGGCGGCGGCGGCGGCGGCATCGATGCCCCAGGGTCTGGCAGGCGCCGTCGCAGGACCCCCGACGGGGGGGGGGTCGAAGGTCCCACGATGGAGGGCGCAGCCGCTGTGGCCCACGCGGCTCCCGAGAGCCCCGACCGTCTCGTTGGGCAGGGCGCAGGAGGAGGAGTGGGCGCGGGAGCGCCGGCATCCCAGAGGCGCCGCAGGCTCTTTTTCGCGAGCACTGCCAGCTGGAGCCAGGAGGATTTTAGCTGCATCGTGCACCCCAGCAGCAGCATGAATCAGGCGCACAGCATTGGAGTGGTAGGACATCACCGCAGAGCCAAGCAGCTGAACGAAGCGAAGAATGCCTCAGGCGAAACGCGTCAGACTAACTCGTGCCCAGCATCTCGGAGCTCAAAGTTGTGAGGATGTCTCATGCGAAACGCGCTGGACCACCCCGTGCGCGTCAGCTCGGAGCCCAGAGTTGTGAGGGTGTCTCAGGCGAAACGATCCGGACCACCTCGCGCGCGGCATCTCGGAGACCCGAGTTGTGAGGATGTCTCAGGCGAAACGCGCCAGACCACCTCGCACGCGACATCTCGGAGACCACAGTTGCGAGGATGTTTCAAGCGAAACGAGCTGGACCACCTCGCGCGCGGCCTCCCAGAGCCT